TTGAGTTTTGGAGCCATGAGGTCATGTTGCAGTTGTACAAACCTCTGGTGCGGCCGCACTTGGAGTATTGCGTACAGTTCTGGTTGCCGCATTATAGGAAGGATGTGGAAGCATTGGAAAGCGTGCAGAGGATATTTACCAGGATGTTGCCTGGTATGGAGGGAAGGTCTTATGAGGAAAGGCTGAGGGACTTGAGGCTGTTTTCGTTAGAGAGAAGATGATTAAGAGGTGACTTAATAGAGACATACAAGATGATCAGAGAATTAGATAGGGTGGACAGTGGGAGCCTTTTTCCTCGGATGGTGGTGGCTAGCACGAGGGGACATAGCTTTAAATTGAGGGGTGATAGATATAGGACAGATGTCAGAGGTAGGTTCTTTACTCAGAGTAGTAAGGGCGCGGAATGCCCTGCCTGCAAAAGTAGTAGACTCGCCCACTTTAAGGGCATTTAAATGGTCATTGGATAAACATATGGATGATAATGGAATAGTTTAGGTTAGATGGGCTTCAGATTGGTTTCACAGGTCGGCACAACATCAAGGGCCAAAGGGCCTGTACTGCACTGTAATGTTCTATGTTCTATGCAACGTTAACATTTATTTCAAGAGAGCTAGAACACAAGTGCAGGGATGTACTGCTGAGCCTATACAAGGTTCTAGTCAGGCAGCATTTGGAAGAGAGAGGAGTTTTGGACACATATTTAAGGACAGATGTGCAAGCCTTGTAGGGGGTTCAGAACGAGTTTAAAAGAATGGTTCTGGGAATGAAGGGTCTGTCATATGAGGAGCAGTTGATGAGTCTGGGCCTATACTCAATGGAGTTTCGACGGATGAGGGGCATCTCATTGAAACTTACAGAATACTGACAGACCTGGATAGAGTGGATGTGGAGAAGATGTTGCCATTGGAGAGACTAGGACTCGAGGGCACAGCTTCAGAATGAAGGGACGAAGCTTTAGAACTGACAAGGAGGAATTTCTTCAGCCAGAGGGTGGTGATTCTGTAGAAATCACTACCACAGAGGGCTGTGGGGGCCAGTCATTGAATATGTTTAAGATAGAGATAGATAGGCTCTGATAAGTAAAGGGAGTAAACAGATCAAAGGTTACAGGTAGAATACAGGAGAATGAGGTTGAAAAACATATTTGCACCCAAATCTGGGACAATAGCTCCCAAAATACTATTTCAACCCCAAGCCTCTTCACCATACCATTCAACAACATACCCAACACAGAGCATCTCCCTCCTACCTTCAACTACACCTGCTCACGTTAGTGGGGCAACCCATTCCCATCCCCCACACCCCCCAACCGCTGGGCACAGTGCTTTGCCTTACCTTCCCGTTCTGGGCGAAAGCGGGTTTCACGAAGCCGTTCTTCCGAGCCGTCACCTTGCTCTCCGAGTGCGCCTTCTCCATGAGACCATTGACGGTGCTGTAGATGTCCCCATTGGGCGCCAGTTTGCTCTCCATTGCTGCCTGCCTCCCGGTTGCCGCCGGTGTTCGCAGGCTCCCAGCCTTCACCCGACACGGTCCGCTAATAATCGCTGCCCCTACTCGGTCCGCCTTCTTCCTGCTCCTCCTCCTGTTGCCCCTCCGCGGTCCGCTTTCCTTCGACCGTAGCTTTAGTCCGCTTCTCTCCTCTCGGCCTTCCCTCCTGCCGTTACGCTTCTCGCCGATTATCTCCCCTGTTTCTTCACTTCCCCCTTCTCACCGTCCGGTCACCCTCAGCCTTTCGCGGTGGAAACACAGACAACCCCAAACAGCTAGCGGGCTCGTAACCGAACGAAGGTGTGACCGACAAACACCGGAAACACGTCACGTCCCAGCCTCCGCCAATCGGCGGCCGGCTGTCCGTGTCACGTGATCCAATCATGGTGACGTTACGTGGGCGGGGCCACCTGATCGGCCCTGCCCTATCCCTTCCGTGCCCATGAACTCGAGTAACCCCTGTGCAACTCAGGTTTGTAGTCATTGAGTTTCAGCCAAATAGACAATGTTTGGCAAGTATTTTAAATGCCTGGGCATTACTCTTTTGTTCTGAAGAAGGGCAACTGAACTCGAACAGTTAACATTGCTTTCTGTCCACAGATGCTGTCAAAACTGCAGTTTCTCCAGCAATTGTTTCAGATCTTTAGCATCAGCTTTTCTTCGTTTTGTATCATTTTCTTTTCTCCTTTTGTTATCTCAGGTCCCCCAGTTTCTACCGTTTATAACGGTAAGATCCAGAAAATATACCGTTGAAAAAGTTGATCCAAAGAATGCCAGAGGCGAATATCAAACAAAAACAGAAATTGTTGGAGAAACTCAGCAGGTCCAGCAGCATTCTGTGGAGAGAGTTAATGTTTCTGGTCCAGTGACTCTTCTTCAAAACTTAAATACTTAATGCTGCCTGGGCATTACTTTTCACTCTGTTGTTTTCAGATTTCCAAGCCTTTGACGTTTGTAACGGTAAGGTAACAGAAAATATCTCGTTTAGGGCAATATCAAACAAAAACAGAAATTGTTGGAGTAACTCAGCTCGTCTCTCGGTATCTGTTAAAAAATGTCAACTCTTGTTTTCTCTGACAGACTTGCTGAGTTTCCGCAGCAATTTCTGTTTTTTCTTCAGATCTCCAGCATCCGCAGTTCCTTTTTTTATTTAAGAGGGGGATATCCTTCGTTTTGCCACGCTCTTGCACGTAGGAAACATTTTGTTCCGGATATTGAAACTGCTGCAGGTTTTCCCAGTCCTCCTTCTCAGTGTGTTTCGTTTCCTGTTGCTTTCTGAGTGCCTTTCTTTCTCATTTTCTATTTTTGCCTGAACTGCCTCAACTTTTCTATAACATTCCTAATTTTATTAATGGAAAACCAAGTTGATGTGTAGCCCTCGATCGGAGTAAACGCCTCCAATAAAACATACATGCAAAAATTGCATTATCAGTAAAAGACTTAATTGCTTCTTCCTACATTACAACAGTGTGTTTAGAAACACCACAAAGTCTCTCTTTCAGTTTCTCCCGGAATTTTTTTTCTTTGAGACTTCCCGCTCACTGAATAATGTAAATAACATCCTTTGGCAGTTCGATTCATAAACTACAGTCTCCTGGATTTAAGCCGAATATTTGCAAGTCTACAGGATTGTCTCCAGTGATTTTGCCAAATACTTTTAGGGATTTCCTTTTCCAAGTTTGGAATCCATTAGCAAAGTTCAAAGTAACTGGAAATTTCTGTTATCTCTGAACATTATCAGGGTTCTTGCAAAATATTTGTATCCGGCAAAATATTGCAGGTACGTTATGATAAGTACATGACGAATGATAAAAATTGGGTGGTGCACATTCTTCCTTCACACTGTAATCCGTGATTAGCTGTTGGCCATATAATCTTGCTGTTTATTTAATACTCACTCCAGGAGTTAATCTAGCAAGATTTAATCTGGACTGTCTACTGCTCAATTTTTCATCAGGCAGGAAAAATTAAAATTTATTCTTGGTATATGGGTGTTACTGGTATGACTGAAATTTATTGCCTGCTCTAAATTTGCATTTGTGAAAGTGTTGGTGAAGCTTTCTTCAATCTCTTGTGATTTTTTTATTGCCTGATGGGACGTGGGCATTGCTGGCTGGGCCTTGAGAACGTGGTGGTGAGCTCCCTTCTTGAACTGCTGCAGTCCATGTGTTGTAGGTAGACCCATATTGCCAGTAGGGAGGGAATTCCAGGATTTTGACTCTTACAACACTGAAGGCGTGGCAATAAATTTCCATGGTGAGTGGTTTGGGGGGGATCTGGCATGTGGTGCCATATATTTGATGCCCCTGCCTTCTAGATGAAAATGGTCATGTGTTTAGAAGGTGCTGTCTAAGGATTTTCAGTGAATTTCTGCAGTGCATCTTGTGCATAGTACATGCTGCTGCTGCTACTGAGTGTCGGTGGTGGAGGGAGTGGATGATTGTGGGTGTGATGCCAATCAAGTGGCTGGTTTGTTCCTGGATGGAAACCAGACCCATTCCCCTCTTGTAGCCACTATATTTATGTGGTGAGTCCAGTTGAGTTTCTGGTCAATGGTAATCCCACTATTGAATGTCAAGGGGCAGTGGTTAGATTGTCTCTTATTGAAGATGGCCATTGCCTGGCATTTGTGTGGCACGAATGTTATTTGTCACTTGTCAGCCCAATCCTTGATATTGTCCAGATTTTGTTGTATTTGAACATGGACTGCTTCAGTATCTGACAAGTCGTGAATGGTGCTGAACATCGTGTAATCATTGGCAAACATCCCTATTTCTGACCTGATGATGGAGGGAAGGTCATTGATGAAGCAGCTGCCTAGCACATTACCCTGAGGAGCTCTTGCAGAGATGACCTGGAGCTGAGACAATTGACTTCCAACAACCACAACCATCTTCCTATGCTCCAGGTATGAAACCAACCAGAGGAGTTGAGCTTCTAGTGTTGTTTGAGCTGCACTATCCAGGCAAGTATGGTGTGTTCGATCACACTCCTGACTTGTGCCTTGTAGATGATTGACAGGCTTTGGGGTGTCAGGAGGTAAATTATGTGTTGCAGGATTCTTTGCTTCTGACCTCTGCCCTTGTAGTTGCTGAATCTACATGGCTAATCCAGTTCATTTGCTGGTGAATAATTACTCCACATGTTGATTTTGGAGATGTTGAATGATTGGCCAGAGACTGAACCGAACCAGCCATATAAATACCGTGGCTACAACAGCAAGAATACTCAGGACAGTGATGGGATACTCTCCATTTGTTGCCTAGATGAGTATAGCTTCAACAACACTCAAGAAGCTTGACACGATCCAGGACAAAGCATTTTGCTTGACTGACAGACACCGCCCATTCGCCACCTTCAACTTTCAGTCTCTTCACCACCTGAAAGGACAAGGGTAGCAGATGGAAACACTATCTCCTCAAACTTATATACCATCCTGGCTTAAACTGTAATGCATTTCTTTCACTGTCACTGGTCAATGTCCTGGAACTCTCTTCCTAACAGCACTGCAGGTGACCCAACACCTCACATGCTTCAGGAGATCAAGGAGGCAGTTCACAGTCAGTTTCTCCAAAACAGTTAGGGATGTGCAATAATTGCTGTTCCAGGCAGTGATACCCACACCCTACGAGTGAGTAAGGAAAGGGGAATTAACTTTTTTTTAAGTGAGAAGAGCAGTGCTGATCATAATTACTTGCTTTCTCCTGGATTTTGTTGAATGTCTCAAGTATTGTTAAATGCACCCATCCAGAAAATGAACATTCCATCACTCTCCTGACTTCATAGGTTGTGGAGGTTTTGGTGAAGCAGGGTAGTAGCTGGATGGTGACAAAGGAGTGTGTGCTGATATATCGTTTAGCAAGACGGTACTCTGGACTCCCAACCAGGCTGAGATTATTGTGAAGTGTAATCATCTCATAATTGCAGTCCGCAATTTTCAGCTAGTTCACAGCCCCACGGGAGAGTTTTGAATCATAGTCTGGATTCAGCAATCTTTTGGAAGATCAGTTGAAAATGTATTATCCTTGTCCTCCCTTGCACAGCCCAACACGACTTCTGATTGGCCTCACTAGGCAAGACATCTGCCCCTGGGTCTTGTTTCCAGGGGACAGTTCGCCATGGCCTTGACACTGCCTTTTTCTTGAGGGTAGGTGGGCCATCCAATACAGAGGTAACGCAAAACTCTCACCAGCCAACAGGTGAGACTACCTAAGTCTCAGTAAAATTCTACCCAAAATTTCAGGCTGCTGAGACTTTATTACAACTGATGGAAGGAAACAGCTGGATTAGCTCTGGGAAAGAAACAGGATGAGCGGAGTATGTTTTCAGGGGAAATCATTGATTGCTCTCGCGGACCTACATCACCTAACCCTAACCCTATTGCAGATTTAGAAATATGTAGGAAAAGGACAAGGAAAAGTGAAATCTAATGGTACTGAATTGGAGGATTTTAATCAAAAATTATAATATGGCAGATTTTCAAAGTGACAATGATTTAAGTATAGGATAGACACATTCCAGAAGCAGGTTCTGGAAATCTCTGGGTGACATAAGACATAAACAATGAGGTGCAACAGAAGAATTAGAAATATAAGGCTCTTAGTAGAGACCCAAGCTAAAATGTAATGAGGAAATCTCAAAAAGGGGAAAATAACAGGTGAGTGGGAGGTGATGGCCTAATGATATTAATCCTGGACTATTTATCCAGAAATCCAGGTAATGGTCTGGGGACCTGGGTTCAAATTCTGCCATGGCAGATGTTAGAATTTGACTTAAGTAAGCATCTGGATTTAAGAGTCTAATGACCACGAAACCATAGTTGATTGTTGGAAAAACCCGTCTGATTGTTCGGGGAAAGTGCCATCCTCACCTGGTCTGGCCTACATGTGACTCTAGACCCATAGCAATGTGGTTGACTCTTAACTGCCCTTTGGGCAATTATGGTTAGGCTTTGAATGTTGGCCTAGCCAGTGATGCTGTCATCACAAGAATAAATAAAAAATGAGAATAGATAAGCCAAGAGTAAAAGGATGTTTAAAAAAATAGTTTAAAAGAAAGTGTGTTCTAAAACAGCCGTTTGCGAATTTTGGAAGTGTTGCTAAATACTTATAAAACATTATAGGCTTCACCTGGAGTTTTGTACTTCTAGCCACCATGTTAGGAAGGCCCTGGTGATGGCCCTGGAGATGGTGTAGAAGACTTTGTTACAATGGAATCGGAGATGAGCTACTTCAAAAATTATATTGATAGACTGGAGAAGCTGTGGCTCTTTTCCTTAGGAGCAGGAAAGGTTAAGAAGAGACTTGAGAGATGAATTCCAAACCATAAATGGTTTTCATAGGGTCAATATCAGAATCTGTTGCAGGAGCTGAATGGTTGCCAATTAGAGAACATGGATTTAATGTGAGTTGGCAAAACAATAGAGGTGACATGAGAAAATAGTTTTTAAATTAAATTCTCTTCCTGAAAGTGCTGTAAAAAAAACGAATTTATCAGTAACTTACAAAAGGATATTGGATAAAAACCTGAAGAGAAAATGAATTTGGACTCCTGTGTTCAGCTTCAGGCACTAGATCTCAGGAAAAGTTTCTTGGTCTTGAAAGAAGAATTGATTTTTCAGTTGATATCAGGATATGAAGGGTTTAATTAAGAGGACAAGTTGCATAAACCTGCCTTGTTTTGCCTTGGATGTGAAAGGTTTGAGGAAAACCTAAACAAGATGCTCAT